GACATAAGTATAAAAATCTTTTGCCTTTGAAATTGTATTAAGTCTATATCGTGTCCCTGCATAATTCACCACTATTCCAACAGGTATCTCCCATCTAAACTGAACCTGTCAATTTTTAAGCTGCTAAGACCGAAAAGCAAAATCTTTTCTTTTTCTAAGAATTTTCGGAGGTATTTCTTTCAAGATTATAATATTTTGATCTGCAATTTGAAATCTGCTTATAAAAAGCCTGAATAATTTCATTTCAAAGTGACCTTCTAGAAAAAAAAATGACCACATCTCTAGGTAATTTTTTCTGCCTTGCAATCCATGAATTGACCCTAAATATTTTATCCATCTCTCTTGATAATTCCTCAGGTTCACATCCCAGGTTGACAACTCTATTTTCTAATTTTTCAATATTTTCCACAACTTCATCCACCCGGTCATCCAAGCATTCAATATGAGTAGCTAACCCTTGAAATGCAAACAATATGTCTTCCCTCATTTCTCTATTTTCATTCTCAAGAAGCTCTGCCATCTCTTCCTTTATTTTACTGTCGAGGAGATCAACCACCTCCTCCTTTATCTCTTGTGTCGCTATTTTCAAAGCATCTTGAATATCTTTAAGCGTAAGTGCTGATGGTGGGGGAGAAGGTGGGGGAGATTTAGGTTTAGTTTGCATTGCAGGCTGTGTTATAGGAGAAGAAATTGATCTTTTAGGGACAGCAGAAATTCCCAAACGTTTTGAAGCCATTTTCCTGTCTGTATAAGTCCACTTCTTGTAAAATCAACAATTACAAAGTTAGAAAGTAAAAAGCGAGATCCCAGAAAAAAGAAGGAAAAAGAAAAAAAAATTCTGTAAAAATTCTTGCTTTTTAAATAAATAACCAAAGTCTAATACATTGTTTAAACTTTGTTTCCAAATGTAGCTCTTTCTTAACACTGTCCTTTCAAACAAAGAAACAACATTCCGTCGCCATTTTTTTCCTTTAACTCGAATTAAAATATGGAGAAGATTATTTCTCCTGAGTTAAAGTTTCAAACATTCACAATTTTAACTTCTCCTGGTCAGCTCCATCTGCTTTTAAATTACTCACAAGTCCCTTTGAAATGCAGATGTGGGTGCGGCGTCTTGCTTTGCTCCTGAAGCTTGGAGCAAAGGCGTCGTGGAGTGCGGAGAAAAGCCTCTGGCTTCGAGGGAATTCACCCTCCGACTTCCAAATAATTAAGGAGGTCTAGGGGAGCTCTACCTCTACCTGAGGTAAACTCTCCCCCCCTTCTCCTGAGGAGGAGATTTCCAAGCCGCAGTTGATTTTCACTGTCTCCGCGCGCTTTTACACATTCACAGGGCTGGCAGTCCAGAGAAAGTTGCCATCAGCGCAGCATCCCAGATCCAATTTCTTAACTGTAAATACACAGCGGTGCAATCTGGACTGAGACTACTGTCCATATAAAGAGGGAAAGCTAATACCGCCTCCTAGATATACAGGTAATCCCTGAGTTACGAGCGTTCACTTAACACTTGTTCAAAGTTATGCAATAAGCACCACCTAGTGCTTATGATCAAGACCCGAAATTATGAATATTGCAGCACCACGGCAGTCATTTGCCCTTGAGCGACTGCAGAGGCTCTGCAACATTCACTCTGGTTATTCCTTCCCTCCCCACCCTGCCCCGGGTGTCCCTAGGCACTAGGCCTTCAGTACTCACCTTGTGAAGCTTGAGATCCTTCGTTTTCTTGGCTGCTCCAGGCCTTTGATGAGTTTGCAGAATAACTCAAAATCACGCAAGATCAACGGGGCGAGATCTCACCATACTGATCTTGCATGTTCTCATGATACTTTAGGCCTCTGTTCTCTGCAACAGAGAACAGAACTGAAACCGCGGGATGCTTTTGCGTGCCTCTGGAGGCTGGATCAGGATGCTGGAGGCCTTTTCCAGGCCATTGCTGTCTGGATCTGAGGCCAAGGGACACTTCTACGGCCTCCAGTGGCTGAATCCGGGAGCCAGAGGCCTTTTCCAGGCTGCTGCCGCCTGAATCTGAAATCAGGGGATGCTTCTGCGGCCATCTGGTGGCCCGATCCAGGCTCCAGAGGCCTTCTGTAGGCCACTGCAGCCAGATCTGAGGCTAGGGAATGCTACCGTAGCCCTCTGGTGGCCCATTTCCAGGCAACAGCAGCCTGGAGAAGGCCTCTGGCACCCAGACGGGCCTTCAGAAGTGCACAGAAGCATCCCCTGGCCTCAGATCCAGGCGGAGCAGGAACAGCGGTAGAGAGGAGACGGGTCTTTTCAAGGTGAGTCCAGTGCAGCAGGAAGGGAGGGGGAATCATGAGGTATCTTAGTGGGTCAGGGAGGCCTTGGGGCTTATTGCATCACTAGGCCCTCCATGGCCTTCCCCACCCTGAGATACCTCATGTTCACTTAATGAGCTGTGTCCATCTTAATGAGTGATCTCGTTTGAAGTATGAGATTCTCTCCCACGAGTTTTCGAGTTATGAGTGGAATGGATAACTCGAGGACTACCTGTACAGTAGCCCATGCAGGGACAGTTTGAAAAGGAACAAAACTTTGTTGCTAAAGAGAATTTTTCTTAAAAATTACATATGCAATGGGAAGAGTAATTTAAAAAAAACCCCTAAGAGACCAAGGAAAAAAAAATAAACATCCACTGTGTCATCCTTAATTGTTCCCAGTCCAGATTATGCTACTATGGACTTACAATTAACTAAATAATAGTTGAGTATTTTAGAATATTGTCTTCTTTACCATTAAATCTTTAAAGCAAACTTTATTTTTTCCAAAATTGTTACTTACATGGCTATACCAAACATAGGTCTTATCTGATAAATAATTGATCACAGGAAGATAAATATTGATTCCATTTTAAAGATCTACCCTGGTAGACAGCACAATATCTATTTGTCATTGCTTTTATTTGACATATCTTTCTAGATTACTCAATGTTTGTTATTATTTGTAGTATCTGTTCTACCTATGCTTGAAGTTTAAACCCAAATGTTTGTGACTGTCATAGCCATTTGTACTACAGTTACTATAATAGTGTATTTTATGAAATTTTATTACACTTTTTAAAGTTTTATTAATAATAACAACCCAATGTATTTTACTGTATTTCCTGGGGCTATAAAAAGATTTTGATTTGATGCGATTACAGTACAACAATTTTTAAATCCAGTTTTCATAGGCCCGTAGAAGGGATACTCTTTTCTTTTATGACATAAAACAAGGATATACATATACACATACACATATACATACTGGACATGTACATATGTGAGTGTGTGTATGCATGTATTTTTGTATGTATAGAATTTGCAGTATTCAGATATCAAAAGAATACAATGATTTGTTTGTATATAAAATCAAATTTGTTATATTAAAAACCAGGGATAGAAGTTATCTCAAAGATATAATCCAGTTGTGAAAATAAATTGAAAGTACCTGCAATATTGCCTTTAACATTTTGTTTATTTTTATCAACGGTATCCATTCAAAATAGATACAGGACTCAACATTTAAGACATCAAAATGAAGAACAGAAAATAACGTGTTGACAAGAGGCCAGTTACCTGAGTCTGACCCATTTCAGAAAATCTTAATTAACAGCTAAATTTTAGCAACTAATATAAAACTATTGTTTATATTTTGCCAACAAGAAGTTCCTTAATTCTTGTAGCTTCCTAATGATGACCTAGCTGATAGCTTTTTAGATATTCAGTGTTTTATTATTGCTAGGGGTTCTATCCTGACTGGCTTAAGATTGACTCAACCTTCCATCCTTCTGAGAGGTCGGTAAAATGATGACCCAGATTATTGGGGGCAATATATAAACCACTTAGAGAGTGCTATGGAGCACTGTGAAGTGATATATAAGTCTAAGTGCTGTTGTTATTATTGTATGATTAAAAGTTCTGTCTGAATGCAAAAGGTAATTCTGTCAGGCTTTAAAAAATATTTAAAGTCTGTGATTGTGCTCAGACAATGGATTAGCTTTGACACTGCTGAAATATTGATCCATGATGCTTTAATTGATCCTACTTTATTATTATATGATTACTTAAGATGTTTAAATTTATACTACATATTTTCATGATCAACATTTGCATATGATAAATTGGATCCAGTATTTTGAGAGGAGAAATCTATTTATCTAAAGATTGATTCCCTCTCTGCTTTCTCTCTGTGAACCATAGTGCAGGAAAATTGCCTTTGAAAAGAGAGTGCTAGTATGGTATAGGGTAAAAGTACTAAATAAGCACTGAGAAGACTCAGGTTCAAGACTATTGCCAACCATGAAAGCTTACTTGGTGACTTGGAGCCACTCAGTCTCTCAGACTAACGTATTCTCTCTTCTTTGTACTGGAGAAAATTGGAGGACAAAATGCTGTATATGCCACCTTAAACTCCAGAGTGTAAGATAAATAAATAAAAACATTTTTGACCAGTCACTCTTATTATAAATAGCATGTAACTATGTGATGCATTCAGTTCGCATGAACCTTTAATCTAAAGCAGTTTTAAAAGACATCAGGATTTTGTACACAATAGCAAGCCTACAAATGCACCATTAAATGTCCTCGACTTATGTCCACAACTGACCCCAGACTGTATGTTGCTAAGTGAGAAATTTGTTGAGTTTTGTCCCATTTTATGACTTTTCTTGCCACATTTGTTAAGTGAATCACTGCAATTGTTAAATTAATAGCATGGTTGTTAAGTGAATCTGGCTTCCCCATTGACTTTGCTTGTCAGAAGGTTGCAAAAGATGGTCACTTGACCCTGGAACACTGCAACCATCATAAATATGAACCAGTTGTCAAGCATCTGAATATAAATCACATGATCATGGGGATGCTACAACAGTCATGTCACTTTTTTCAGTGCCATTGTAATTTCAAATGGTCATTAGACGTACTGTTGTAAATTGAGGACTACCTGTAGTAGTTTCAGATGGTAAACTATAAGTCTCAAAAATAAAATCAAAATTTGTATTTTAGGAGAAAGAAAATGAAGATCTTATGGAAAACCTCCACATGGTCCGTGAACAGGCAGATAGATGGGAATCAAAGTTGCATCAAATGGAAAAAGATTATAACTCCATCCAGATGGAACTTCTCAGTGTAGAATCTGAGAACCATAGACTGAAAGAGCAAACAGAATCTCATGAAATAGCAATTGGACAAGTAGGTTTTAAAAGCTTCCTCTTACAATCTGTGTCTGTCTCTGTTTCTCTAGCTCTTTCTCTCATTTTCTTTCAATGGCTAGTTAGTAGTACAGCTCTTAGATTTTTAAAAATGGTCTTTGTAATACTTATTCTTCACTCCCACATGAGTAAAAGGTTAAATGAATGTTTTGTGATGCTCTGCATTTATGATCAGATTACAGCAAGGACTTTCAAAATGGATGTATTGGGAAAAGTATTGACCATTTGCTGTACTTGATTTTAAAACATTCTGGTCTTTCTTAAGAAAGTTTAGGATTGGATTATAGGAGTGGAAAGGCATTAATGTTTATCTCTGGTAATTATGAATCATAGACTTTTAACAGAGCTTGAATCATCTTTTTAGATAGTAGATACAAGATATTGTAAAATATTGTCTATGCCTATTCTGGCTGTTTGAAAAAAGTATGCATTGTTCATTGAATAATCTTCTTTTTGACTCTAAAACTGAATTTACACTCCCAAAGTAAAATTTTTTAAAATAATTCCTCTGTATTAATTCTTAGCTTCTTATGTTCTATAAAATAAACAATTGTACTTTATTTTGAATACATATATCATTTCCATTTGGTTTCTGCATTCTGACACAAATTCTTCAGGATTCACATGGTTTTCTATTTTATCAAGAGTTTTCTTTGTGGATGTAACAAACAGTTGCACTGAAATTTATACCATGATACTTTCAGTGTGCAATGAACTTCACATGGAATTCTGGGTTGGTCTACTAGTGCTATAAAGTCTCTTAACTCTTTCTCTCTCTGTGTGTGTCTGTGTATGCATTTTGGTATGTTTAGTTTTTGTTGATGTATTTTTAGATTCTGCTTTTATTTTTAATGACTGTAGAACATTTCAAAATTAACATAAAACAGAAGCATATTTATTTAGATAAACATGCTTATTAAGTATTTTTTTTTCTTGAGGATATTCTTGTTGGTTTATTTATAATATAAATGTTAATTGACTTTTCTTTTTTGGGGCAGCATTTAGCATCTGAAAAAGCCTGTAAGTCACAGATTTCTACTTTAGGTAAGTCTCTGGTGAAAATGGAGGAGAAACTTGAAAAAGTCCACCTGGAAAAGGTTTCTATACTCTCAGATTTGACTTCTGCTCGGGAACTGTGCATTAAACTGGACACTAGCAATGAGTTATTAAGCCGGCAACTAAAGAACACAACAAAGGAAGTAGAAAGAGTAGGTATAATATAATTTCGGCTTGATTTATAGAGAGCAAACACTGAAGCTGAAAACTTGTATACATTTTCCTAATGCTTGAATTTAATTCTTGCTGTTCATGGAAAATTCTTTACATGTCAGAATTTTCTCAGAGTCACCTGGACTGGAAATTGTCCATCACAGGAAGTTGATTCATAGAATCTGTTAAGAAGATTAAAGTGGTAACACAAGAATTTTGTAAAATACCATACCTTCAAATGAGAGCGGTGTGTGGGTGTATGAGTGAGTGTGTCAATTTTGCTTTGTGGTCCAAGGTTTCTATAGAACGCAGCCATATGATTCCAGGAAAATATACAATTATATTATGCATTTGTTTACATGTATTTCATTCCCACTCTTACATATTCTGAAGCAATTTTTAAAATCTGAACTTTGCAGAGCCTTATTTGTTATTTCCTAAATCATAGGCAGCATATCTTTTCAGCTACTAGAAAACAACAACAGCTGTTGCTCTCCTGTCAATACTTGTGAGCACACATCTATTTGACCAATATAGTCTTATGTTCTAATATCTCTATTTGGGAGCTTGTTTAATTTTTAAACATCAAAGCAGAAGAAAACATTGCCAAATACTACTGTTTTTCATGAATTCTGGTGCCATGATTGTTCTGTAGCAAATAATACATTGTACACTATATGGTCTGGATATACATAAAGCTGCTAAGAAAAGGTAAATACTATCTGTGCTTATCTGAGAAACTGAATCTTGGATGTGGATTTAGATATTTGTAGACATAGGAATCTCTGTGGGTATAATTCAAAAAAAGCCAAAAAGGCATGTGTGACTGTATGATGGAAGTCCCAACTCTAGAACTTTGTTAATGCTATCTCATTCTACATTGATTCTTGAGGGATACTTAATTAAAACTTGTCTTTTTTCTTTAAAACAATCAAACATTGTCATTCATAATGGAGTTGATGTATATGAATCCATCATTCATTCTTTTAGGCTCTGGGGAAGATAAGTGAGAAAATTTGGGGAATGAATGAGAATTTTTTTTAACCATCAATCATTTTTATTTGTTTGTGCTAAATATTTTTCATATTTTTTTCAAAACTCCTGATATAGAGTTTTTTAAATACTTGAGCTGAATAAAAGTTATGACTGGTTCATTTCAAAAAGAGAAATACCTGCAATATGAACTTTAGATTAAGCCAAGACAGGCAATTGTTTTTGTGTACAATAGGTCGTGGTTAATTTTAAAAGGGTTTAAGAAGCTCAGAGCACTTCAAGCATAATAATGCAATCCTGAAGTCAAATCTGTTGCCATTAAATTTTTTGTGTGAAATTTGGCCTGTCTGTCACTTTGTGCATCTGAGAAAGTGAGTGATAGTTAATGATAGTCTGAAAAATTACTATCAGACTTCTGATTTTGACATCCACTTTAGTAGTTGATATTGAAATCTGGGGGCTATTAAAATGGATGTGATATCTCCATGTGGTTCATAGGTAATCCATCTTGATTTAAATATTCTAAATTTATTTAGAGGGTTCTGATATATTTTGTGTGGGATGGAATGCCCTACAGTATAAGATTTGTTTACAATAGCTGGAAAGAAAACCACTTCCAAACTGGCAAGGCAAATAACTTATCTATGAGCCACCAGCAAACTCCACTTTCAGGTGTCAGTGATGTTACAGTATTATATTTTGTGATGAAATGTCTGCAGGAAAACCGCCAAGCTCAAAGAATACCAAGAATCCAATAATTTGTTTAGTTTTGGATTAACATCATAAGTAAAACCCATTTATTTTTGCACATTAAGAAAGATTACCATACTATCTTCAGAAAATACCACCTTAAGTTCTTAGCAGGGAGAGGGTTACAGTTTTTACATTAAGAAAGAAAAGCTGAAAAGATTGATATCCATAGGTGCTGGGGAGGGGAGGAGAAAGCATGGTATTTTCTTTACAATTTACAATGTAATCTATCATTTTCTAATATATTACATATTAAAGAAAATAAGACCGTTCATTATTTTGGCTTTCAGCTTCAGAATGAATGGGAATCATCTCACTCAGAAATAGAACTTCTGAGAAAGCAACTCAACAATGAAAGAATCTCAATTAAAAACTTGGAAACTTTGTTAGCATCCAATCGAGAAAAAGAGTATCAGTCTCAGATGATAAGTCAAGAGAAGGATTCTGAAATACATCTTCTTAAAGAACAACTTACTCTGGCTGAAAACAAAATGTGAGTAACCAGTGGAAATAACACTTGATTATCACAGGAATTGCTGTTATACTTTTTTCTTATTCTCATTTTTAGAGAGACCCTTTATTAGAGCGGAAGATAGTTTATTTAAAAGTTATTTGAAACTAGGGAAACTAAATATTAGGCAAAACAGCATCTATCTCATGGGAATAAAATATATATTAGAATTTTTAAAACAATTTGTACCTTACTTTGTTCAGTAAAGTTAGAAAATTTTAATATGGGTATTTAATGCCTTTAGACACAGCAAAAATATAAAATTGTTTCTATTTTCCTTCTGGAAGCTTATCCAACTATTTTTTTTGTATCAAATATATTGGAAGCTGTTTTTGAAAAACTAATCCTATTCTTTATTTTATTATATTTGATTAGTTACATCCTTTCAGTTTAAGTGACAACTTTGTCCTTTATAGCACTATCCAGAGTCGAGATTTTTCACAGATCAAAAACACAATTACTCAACTGGAATCTGAGTTAGATATCACCAAAAGACAGTTGGGCACAGAACGCTTTGAAAGGCAAGTGTGTGACCACATTTTTAATCATTTACATCTGTTATTCCCAGTTAAATAATATACATTTTCACTAATTTAGAAAAATCCAGGGCTAAAGTCATTAAATAATGCTACTAATTTATATCCACTAGAACTAAGACTAAAATTCAGCATTGGAGCATGCTTGTTAGGGAACAAGTACTATTATTTACAATTTTTATTATTTTATGACTTAGTTGGGAAAAGACTTCCATTTGATTGTAACCCACATGTATAAATCAGATTATTTATCAGTTTGAAATAAGTCGGATTTTATTTTATAACTAGCAAGTACTACATTTAAACCTTATGGGTATTTATAGATCGTTTTTAATAGAAAAGAGCAAGTAGATTTGTAGATTATGGATTTTTTTTCATAAAAACTTGAAAATATCTTTTGCAGACTTTAAAGAATGATGGCTGAATCATTCCATTGCATATTTCATATTTCATTACGAAATCCAATTATTTATAAAAAGTAACTAAAATGCACCATTCCTAATCTTCCTTCAATAAGTAGTCTGCTGAGCAGAATAGCCCAGAATTAACTATATCTTCAATTATTGCCCTAATATTTCCAGAGTTCACGGAAATTCAATAAAATTGATTACTTTAAGTTGCCTCAAAATTTACCATCCAGGAAAATATTCTAAAAACTGCAGATTTAGGGAAATTCCTGTTTCTGACTAATTGAGCTACTAAAAAACACTTTCAGGAGTAAATATAGTATATTCAAATAAAAATCCAAACTCAAAGGTACATTATTGGTCTGGAAGTATAAAAGTGCTGACTGTGGGCCCATCATTAGGTATATTTATTATATTTGTGTGACCTCTATTATCTAAGATAGCTTAACTCCCTAACCCACTATATACTTTCTAAAACAGAATTATGAACCACAAACATGGGACAAGGTATTGAAATAAAGGTTAGAGAGGGGCAGTTTGGCCAAATCACTTTCTCTTATGTAAATTGTGGAGAAAAATTATTTATTCTGTTGTTATTGGTATGGGGATGAGTTGAGCAAATGTCTACTGCTATTAAGCAGATTGTCAGGCCTAGCTGACAAAACAATCCAGTCAAAATTCAGTTCTTTATTTGTTAACACTTTATAGACAGAATCTTGCCAGACTAAATCTACACTATCCTAATCTAATGGAAATGCGTATACCCTGGAAGCGGCTATCCTAAATCTCTTTTCACAATCCAGCTCTGGATTGCATGGTGTCTCACACACACACACCCAACTTGGAACATGCTACCTCCTTTCTGGGAACCTGTTGCTTTACTGTAGTCCATCACCCTACTCCTTCATAAACACATTCTATCTCTAGATCCATTTTTAGGCAGACTAAAAGCTCAGACCTATTTGTACATACATTGTGTTTGTGTGTGTGTGTGTGTGTCTCTGTGTGTGTGTGTGCTGTTTTGAAAAAAGACAAACTACAATCTATCATAGATTTTAGTTATCCAAATCAACTTTTGTTATAGACTTTACATATTCTAAATTTAAATTGCTGTGTTATATTACTGCTTTGTTTTACTCTTTTAATAGATATACTGTGTATCTAATTTATGCTTATTTATTAAAATTATACAATTAGAATATTTCATCCTACAGGTAATCCTTGATTTACAGCCATTCATTCAAGTGCCCTGTTGCAGCACTGCTGCTGTCATGTTACCAGTATTTGGACATTTGATAATCTGCTTGCCCTTACAATTGACCACAGGGCATTGCAATTGCCCCACTTGCCTATCTCTCCCCCATCTCAGCCTCTCACCTGGCCCACCAGCCCTCACAACACTGCCTTGGCTTTGGAGGCCTTGGCCTGCTTCCTGCCACTTCTTCCCATGCCATCATGCCAGGGTCCACTTCCCTTTGCATTATTCTGCAGCTGCTGATAGGCACATCCCACTAATTAGGCTGTCCCACTGTCATCCTGCAAGAGGCTTCATTTTGTGATGGTTCAGAAGATTTTCTCCAAAACACATGATTTGGATAAGGGGCCTTGCAAACTATGAGAAGAATGATTGCATTCACTAGCTTTCTAACCTTCCTAAAATAATATTTCTGAAGGATAGCCACATTTGCTAGCTTTCTGGCTAAAAAGCCAGCAAACATCCTTCTGAAGGCTAATCACACTTGCTAGCTTTCTCGTTCTAAAGGTTAGTTGTGTCTGTTAGTTTTCTAGCCTTCATAAACCATTGCAAGAATAGGGGCCATTTGTAGGATGGTGTGAGTTGGCCTGGATAGGAAGGCCAGACCTAGTATTGGTTGGACACATCTGTCAGCAGCTGCAGAGGTAAGTATTCCTGGATATAGTGCAACAAAGAGAGGGCTTGGCCCTCCAGGGTGTGGTGTGATGGGGAGAAAACTTGGACTGCAGGTCCCAGGCAGGTTTCTGCACACCAGTAAGCACAGGGCCTCTTCCACCCCCTGTGGCACCCTGCACTTCAGTTAATGACTCTCACAACTGCTTAACTACCACAATAGGGAGAGCCAGGATTATAGTTATTAAGTGAAACAGTCATGTGGGCATCTTGCTCAATGACTACTTTGCTCAGTGACCCAAATTTGGGTCCTAATTATAGGGGTAAGTTAAAGACCACCTGTAGTTTCACTGTTTGGATATATACAAAGCATCTGCCAATTTATTGGGACCAGGTAATTTATTGGGACTTATCACAAAGTTTTATAGGTAGGTTTTCTCTGAATGAAATGTAATTGTCCTTAAGTGCACTTCCTCCCATGTGAAACTCGCATGATTAAATTTTTAAATACTTTGGGGAGTTTTAAGAATAGAAGGTGATGCAGGAAGCCACTGGAAAGAAAAACAGACCCTGTTTCAAATGTTTATAGTTCAAACCAAATTCAAAATCATACTGCCAAAATTCAGTGACAAATAACTGAATGCTGGTGGTATGATTTCAAGTTATTTCTTTAGGAGGATTTAAGAGGAAAAATTGGAATGATAAGCTTCCAGAAGACAGTTCCCTTCTTTGCTTCAGATTGAAAGAGAAGAACCTTTAAAATCTGTAAGTGTTGGTGATTTTACCACTGAATTTAGTAGCATAGTCTCATGTTGTTGGAACAGATGCTTTGTTGAGAGCTGCATATGATCTGTAGAACATGGATTATTTACCCCAGCCAATGCTGAATAAAGATATGAACCTGTCTACATTAAATTTAGCAGTGAGAGAATGGCAGCTTTTTTTACTTTGCAAGCCAGCATTAAATCCTGCCTTATTTTGTCTCTTGAAAAAAATAAATGTATCTCTAGATCTGAGTAAAGAGGTCTAGAATCACCTAAATACAATTCCAGTGGGCCAAAGAGGTGAATGTTACCCAATAGAGTAATGAAACAGGAGTTAAGGAAAAACATAGCTATATGACATAGATGTATTTCAAAGCTGGGCTTGGGTTTAAACACAGAATGATCAAGAAAAATGTTATCACTGACTGTCTCCAGAGTAAGTAACTTTAGGCTAGATAATTGACTTAAAATAATAGTTTCCTGTATTCTTATTCTTTTCCAGTGGTATTCACCCTGGCTCTGAATAAAATCCAAATGAAATTCCTTTTCCACCCTATCATTCTGTGTTGGAATGAGAGCAATCAGTTTTTTACCTCCTATGTGACATCCTTTTAAGTATTTGAAGAATGTGGTTATAAATAAATAAAATAGATACAATACTTGAGGTGAGGTCTAACCAGAACAGATGCAGCAATTACTATCTGTAAATTTGGAAATTATGTATCTGTTGATGCAGCCTAGAATTCCAGTGCTGTCTTTGCAGCTAACATACTGCTACTTCATTCAGTTTGCAATCAACCACAGATAATCCCCAATTACCAAATATTCATTCAACAACTGTTCAAAGTTATGATGGTGCTGAAAAAGGAGACTTATCAGAGGTCTTCAAAGTTGAAGCTATTGCAATGCCCGTTGTTCACATGATCACAATTTAGGGATTTGGCAACCAGCTCACATTTACAATGGCCGCAGTGTCCCATAGTCATATGATTACCATTTGCAACCTTCCTCAGGCAGCTTCTGACAAGCAAAATAATTGGGGAAGCCAATAGGAAATTGCAGGTTGTGATCTTATGACATTGAATTTAACAACTCACAATGATTTGCTTAATGACTGTAGCCAGAACTGGTATCATAATTTTGTGTAGTCATATATTTTACTATGTGCTGTGTAGCAGTGGAGTTGCTAGTCCCATTTGTGGTTGGTAAGTGAGGTCTACCTGTATTATTCTAAGACTATCTGTGTGATCGCTGTTAGCAAACGAAGTACTCCCTATCCCATTTCTTTCTTTTATATTTTAGGTTCCTAAGTTCACCCCCTCCTCGAGAAGCTATTGCTAGACCTCACTGTTCAGGGATTGGTGCTTTTTCATTTCTGATTTAGCATCTTCATAAAGCCATTGGGGAAGGTCAGCAGTTTTGGATGAGGTGTTATCAGTATGCTGATTATACCCAGTGTTTACATATCCCCTTTACGTCATCTGAAAGATGTGGTGGAGTTATGTTCCAGTTCTGGAGGCTGTGGGTGCCTGGACAGGATGCAACAGGCTACAAAACAACCCTAGCAAGATTAAATGGCTTTGGGATTTGGGGTTTTTGAGCCTGTTGCTTGGTTATATTGTATTGGATTGTGGCTTTGTGATTTTTTTCCTGGGTTTTATATATTTTTGTATATGTTCTTATTTTTAATAATGTGAGCTGCTCAGAGTCAGGCCTCCAAGATGGGTGACCATATAAATCCACTAAATAAATAAATTATGATCTTTTGCTTTCCTGATATCAGTTTTATTTTTCTGGGCTATCACTCTGTAATCTTCCTTTGTGATCTGGTTCTGTTTTCATTTCTTGCATGTATATTTTTTATTTCAGTACTTTGCTAAGCTTTTTTTAGTCACATTGACTTTTTTTTCTTTCTTACCTTTTATCTCCTTGAAACTGCTTCACTATGTTCTTTTAACATTGCCTTGTTTCTAATTGTATTTTTAATATAGTCTTCCTTAAGAAGTCTTGAGCTTCTTTTCCCATTAGCTTTTTTCACCATTGCATGTATTTATCCTTGTACTGAGTAGGCTGAAATAAAAGGAGCTAAAATCAATGTCAAAAATGAGACCAATGTGGAGGAAAGGATGTTTGGCAATAGGCTGTGTTCACCATATAAATGGGTCGGAGTCCTGAGGAGACAGTAGTTGTAAAAAAGAAAATAAGATTTTAACAGTCTCTTTATATGTAACTGTAAAAAAAATAAAATAAACATGCTGCTGTGGCAAAAATACTGTATTACTTTCTTCTGGTCTTTGTATGTAACCAATAAGACTAACACTATACTAATTAGAAGGAAACAATTTAAAGAATAATTCTAATGGAAATTCCATTGAAAGCTGGAACTTTGGTCTACATTTGAAATAGTCACTGACAGAATTCCATCCAGTCCAATTCTCTCTGAACTCAAATGTCTAATCTTCTATATTTTGTTTTAAATATTTTTATTGAATCAGTTACTCTTTGACCTTTATGTGCTGTCCTTACTTCATCATCTAGGCACTTACTGTCCAAAATTAGGGGAAAAAATGATTTGTGTCCCTTTTAAAAATAAAAAGTTAAAAATATTCCTCTGAGATTTTTAAGAGACACTAGCTGCTGGACTTAGGAAAGTTATGTGCATTAAGTACTCTTACTTAAATATTTTTTTTGAAAAAAAATTAGGGAACGTGCAGTCCAAGAACTTCGTCGGCAGAGTCGTACAGCTTCATACCATTTAACTTCTACAATAAGATCAATATCACCTGAACGTTCCCGGCACTGGTCTCCTGAGAGGTCTCTGGATAGATCTTTGGATGGGTAAGAAAATGTCGGTTAAAAATATATCTTCTTTCTCTCACTGTTATTCAGGTAGAGACCTGCTCTTTATCATGTTACAAAGGCATCCTTAAATTAGAAATTTTATTTCTTTGTTGCTGTTCCACAAAATTGTGCCCAAAATAGCTCATAAAATATCAAGTGACAAGAACTGCTAAGAGAATTATAATTTTGTTTTCTTGTTTTCTGGACTGTTTCAGGACATATTTTGGTTAGCTTAACATACCAATCAGTGTCAACCATGGAAAAGGCGGGGGGGGGAGACCGTTTTCAGACTGACAAAAGCACTGTCCTGCACCAAGCCCCCACCTTTTTCTATGTTCATCATGATGTCAGATATTATTGTTGCAATGCTGATTTCATTATTCTGATGGAAGCAGAAGGCTCCTGAAGATGCTGTTGATGTAAACTCATTCAATGATATTTAGATCTCCTCATGTCATTCTGTATCTTTTGCTTTCTTTCCTTTTCCTTACCACAAAATTATTGATTGTTTTTGTAAGAGCTCATTTTCATGGTTTGGGAGGGACTATCGATTATAGAACTGTATAGATTAAACATGCTTTTGAGATAAGCAATAAAATTTGGCATGTTTTTCCACAGAGACCATAAGTATTGTCCAAAACACAATTTGTTGATACCTTTATAATTCAAGAATGAAAAAAAGAGATTTATGTTATGTGTGTTTGTCTGTGAAAGAAATGGACAATCACCACTGGATAAAATACAATTTTTCTTTCTTCTTTCATAGGGATTCTATTTCAAAGGACTTCTAATTGAAGAAGATATGGAAAAAATTAACATCTATTATAGAAATACCAATACATGCTAAACCAAACTCAAGGTTTATTAAAACAGTTGCTTTAATCCAATTGCTAAAGGATAATGTTCAGAGTGCTTATTAACTGAAGAAGCCTACATACACAAATATTTTATTTGGGGCATTACAGTAAAAGCAATTATTGTTTTATAAAATAATTTTTATTATTAAAAAGATGTTCTGAAATGAAAATTGAACTGCACACCATCAAAGAAATATATTAAATGAAAAATTTAAACAGCTTCTTATTCTTCATTTATTTGTTGTATTTCGGTTGCACATTTGCTAAATTATTTAACTTTTTGAGAAACTGATGGACAAAATCAGTTCAATTCTTGAATTATTTTTTTAAAAAGCTGATTCTCCTTCTGAGAATGAACAAAGCACAAAGTGTGCTGATCTCTGGATACCCACACTGACTCGGCTACTCTTGGAGTTTAGGGTATCCAAGGAATAGAGTTTGATAGGCTGTGATGGAGAGTTGGCAAAACTCATACATATATTTTGTGTAAAGCATATCCAGTACATCTTCCTCCTCCTATGTTCCCCACAAGAACTTTGGACTGAGAGAGAGAGTGATTGGCCCAAAGTCACCCAGCTGGCTTTCAGGCAGGACTTGAACTCAGTCTCCCGCTTTCTAGCCTAATGCCTTAACCACTATGTATTGCTAAACCATGACATCATTTTCATATCACTTTCAATAGAATTTCCAAGATTCATTAAAACTTCAGTTTTATTTGCATTGGGGAGATCCACATTACTCATACTTCGACTTTTTGAAATCAGTAAAAAATAAGAAATGTCTTAATAAATCACAACTTGAACGTGTCCATTGTAAGATGTAGCTACAAAAAATGCCCTGCATCAACAAAAGTATAATGTAAGATAAGAAAAAGTAATTGTTTATTCTATATTGGTCAGGCTACATCTAAAATATTATAAAACTTAGGCAGAACGATTGGCGGCATTAAATATTTAGTCTGGGAACAAGTGTATTGGGAGACATGACAGCTATGAATCTCAGGAGCTATCATATAGAAGACTGGCTTGTTCCAGGAGTCAGGACAAGAAAGAATAGGTTTAAACGTTACATTACAAGATTATTTATGGTTGGGTATCAAGAAGAATTTCCTCATGATTGTTCAACAATGAAAGATATTTCTCTGGGAGAAAAAGAATTTAATTGCCATGGAAAAATTAGATGTCTAGTATTAGTCTCTTTTAATTTCACAAAACTGGTGAAATTTGGTTAGTTTAACTGATTAGTAAATTGATATCCTGGAAGTTACCTTTTAAAAAACAGAATTTTTCTAGAATTAATCATGGTCTGTGATTTTCATAGAATAATTCCATGTTTGCATACCAATTCCTCTAGTTTTATATGACTGATAAGATTTAAATTGGACTAGCCATTTAAATTGGCATGCCTGGCATTTTCTAAAACAATCTTGTTATGACTGTTGAATATGATTATTTTGGCTGATTAGGAAGCTGGAGAAATACAGCTTTTTCTCTGGAAATGGGTTTCCATGGAAATTTTGTCACTTACTGCATTAATGCCTTCCAATGGGCCTTTGATTTTGTTAATATAGCTGGGAAGATGGTGTTCTGGACCATTTTACCCTATGGTTTATTAGAGGAATTAAGGGGTTAGTAAAATGATTCTAAAAACACTACTGTTATTAACTGTTATCGTTTATCTAGAATACACTCCAGTTCTGCCTGCATCAATATCATTGCAAACGTGTCCATTATGGCCTGGTTTTCCCCAACATTCAAAGAATCCTATTCTTTCGCTTAACTGCCAATGAGCCTCACTGAATGTGAGTGGTATATCCGAAGGCTTGTGCCGTACAGTAATTTACTTTGTGACCGACGACATTAGACTTCAGTGCGGGAAGCGAAACCGGGGGCGCATTTTTACAGTTCTTTTCCGTAATCAACCTAATCCTCGTTTCTTCGGAGACAAACCCTGAGGAATTCAGCAGAGTTTTCTTAGATAAGCCAATACAGGACTGCAATTTCAGGCGGATGCTTTCTTGCCAATGCTTCAACGAGGAAGGTGGCACGAACGGTCCCAGGAAGGAGAGCACCGATTAGAGCGAGTCTCCAGCTCAGGTTCCCTCTCTGCTCAAGCCGGGAATGCCAATGGGTTGCTTCGTGAATGACCTATGTTCCCTCCTCTCGTCTCCCCTGGCAGCGCCCGGGGTTGCGCTCCGCCTCTTACTTCTCGCTCTCGGCCAAGGTGCCTTGTGGGCCTCTCTTCCGCGCTGGCAATCTCTTGCCTCCACGCGGCCGACGGAAAGGTGAGTGCCGCCGCGGACATCGAGCGGCAAGGCTGCCGAAGTTTAGACAGGGGCGTTGTGGAAGCGGCCCTCCGGGTTGGGGCGCACCTGGCGGGAATACAGCTTCCCGTCAGCGCGCGCACAGCCAGCAGGCCAGCCTCGCCACCAGGCTGCGCCTTCAAAGCTCTTTGGTTTCCTTGTGCGCCCGTCTAATCCGCTGCTTGTTTGCCCTGAAGGAAGTCCTAGGAGGTAGAGTAAGACTTCTGCTGATGCCTGTAGACTCGCTTGTTGGCAGCGATAAGTAGGAAGCTGTTTCCGAGAGCAAAGGACATTTTGTGGAAGAATTACCTGAGAGTGCCCGTTTAATTTCCAGAAGATTAGTGTGGATTCATGAGTTTCAGCCTAACCAAGCAGATTGTCTATGGAGATTCTCAGTCATCCAAGTCATGGTTGTCTCAAAGGTGCTTTTTCGGAAGGAACTGGACTTTCTTGAAAAGGCCAGTTGCCTCTTGAGAAAGCACCTTTGGAACAACCAAGAACAATAATAACACAACAGAAATCTTGGTTTATTATTTGAAGTCCTGGTTCAGGCAGTCTTCAAGAAACTATGGATGGGGTAGTTTTCTTAATGTAAGTGGGAGTTAATCAAGTACTAGCACTGAGATACTTTCTTGTTTTTAGAACCCAAAGCTAGGGCTGTTCCTCAAAACTCAAAGTGTTGTCCGCCCTCCTTGAACCAGCAGAAAATGACAGCTGGTCCTGTTGCAAATCCCTAACATGCCATAGGAAATGGGGAGCCAGTTCTTTATTGTGTGCAGATTTGCTAAGAGAAAGGATTGATGGATCAAGTTGGCTTTGCTTCTCTCCCTCCTACCAGATTTCACCAGCCAGTGAGAAGGTATTCATTCACCAGTTACTCTTCTTAAGGTGGACTAGGGCTGAGTAGGAAGTAGGTTTTAATGCAGGGGTAAACCTGGAGATCCCACTGTACTATACTGCCCCACCATCCATGACTGTCACTAGTTAGGCTGGTCCTTCTTTCAAAGTCCGATCTCTGGGCCAGGCATTATCCTGGACATCCTGTAAGTGAGAAGCCAGTTTGAAAGATCCAGATCTTCCTACTATCTAAACCAGAATGGGCATAGAGAACAGTGCTCAGGGGCAGGAGTGTGCTGTACCAGCTTGTAGTGGCTAGCAGGTCTCTTGCAGCTCCTGATATAGAATAATTTCTACTATTTAACATTATTTCATAATCCATTTTAAAGCTATTGTGATGGAAACTGGAACAGATAGTCCTCAATTTACGATCAGTCACTGTGACACATTTTAAAACCATTGTGGTGGAAATTGGTACAGGCAGTCTGCGATTTACAATAGATCAGGGCTTTTCAACCTTTTCACCATTGTACCACTTTTAGGATATGGCAACTCCGAGTACCACCAGCTGCCTAGCAAGGTGTCAAAAACTTGATGACCAAAAAAAAAAAAAAAAGGAAAAAAGTGATAAAGTACAGATAGTCCTCAACTAACAACAGTTTGCTTAATGACTGTTTGAAGTTACAATGGCACTGAAAAAAGTGTCCCCCAAGGCACAGCCGAGCAAGACACCTGCCTGCCCACCCGGCGGCGCTTTTCCTCCTGTCTGAGGTTTTCATTATTGTGAGCATTTCTGTTGAGGATTGGCAGTGGGGGTGGGGTGGGGGATGTTTGGTTTTTATTCCCCCATCTGTTGGGTGGTTGCAGCAGGTTTTGATCACTTCACATGACCCTGGGACACTGTGACCGTAATAAATATGAATCAGTTGCCAAGCACCTGAATGTAAATCACAAGACCCTGGAGATGCTGCAACATTCCAGCTGATTGGTGCTTCT